CATACATAAGGCACACAGGATTATAAGGGGCACTGTCAATTTTTCAGAAAATCAAAGGATTGATTTTAAGTGTGCCGTATTTTCCGAAAAACACGGTAATAACGACGGCCCGCTAGCATGCTCTACCAAAAAATGTGCCCTGGTGTGTATCTGACAGAAGAAAGCCAAACCAGTTCCACACCACTGAAGTTGCATTTTTACAAACCAATTCTGGTTCATCCGTTTCATTCAACGATCTGCTTTCGCCCTTCTCATTCTCTGTCGCCGCTATGCTTTTTCCGCCATGTGCGTATGGGGGGGGGGAAGGCACTGTGCATGCGTATTTTACCCATATTATATCATGATATTTCATTTTCTTATCGTTGCCCAACATTATAACTGTATTACCATGAATGTTATGATATGGCCCAGCCCTAGTGGTGACACATAAAAATAATGTGAACTTTGATACAGTTGTTTGAACTGGTGATGTTGGAATCTCTTTAGAAATGACTCCAAGAGACCTTCCTAACTCTGGTAAATCCACAATTCTCCTTCTTAGATCTTCACTGAGTTCCTTGGACTTTCACATTGTTCTAATTATTGATCAATCCGTTGAGTGCCATCAAACAAGTTCTTCTAATGCTGGCAAAGAGAAACTATCAGCTCTAGTTTGTGATCTGAGTTTCTAGGCTGAGAAGCAGAAATTCTAATATTCCATCAACAGTGTATAAATTTGCTTTTGATACTGGTGGCATACATGCCAACCCTCCCGATTTTTCTGGGAGAATCCCGAATTTCAGTGCCCCTCCCAAAAATCTCCCGGAGCCACCATTCTCCCGATTTTCCACCCGGACAACAAAATTGAAAAACCCCAGATTGGGCCAGTCAATTCCAGTTTCCAACAATGGCTTCTACTACTGCAGCTACTTAGTTTTAATATTACTCTTATTACTCATTCTGGGTCGCAAAATAAACTTTATATTTAAGATAACAAGGAGCAGACAGCAGAGTTTCACTCCACCGAGAGAGCTCGTGACGTAATTCTGAAGGCTAGACTGTCCAATTTCACAGTCGCTCATTTCCGGTCTAGCCGGCTTTCTGTAGTGCGCGAAGGCCGGGTCCTCAGGTGGACGCAGCCTCTGAATTTGGACAGCCCCGCTGTTTCCGGCTGGACAGTATTAACAGTGACATTTAACTTATTTTATCCAATAAATAAACATTGTAAAATTCTAATTTTCTGTATATATATGTATATGTATACCACTCCCCCACCCAACATCCCTTTTGAATGTCT